TTGCCCCAGCATTTTTCAAACCAAATGGCATTACCCGATAACAGTTTGTTCCCCATTGCGTGATGAATTCTGTCTTTTCTGCATCTTCCTCATCCATCAAGATCTGGTGATATCACGCGTAACAATCCACAAAAGACCCAATCTCATGCTTGGCACAATTATCGATCAGAATATGAATGTTCAGCAATGGAAAATCATCCTTTGGGCTTGCTTTGTTAAGATCACAGTAATCAACACAGACCCTGGTCTTACCATCCTTCTTTGGTACTGTCACAACATTGGCTAACCAAGTGAGATATCGAGTGACTCGAATGACCTTTGCAGTAAGCTGCTTTGTGATTTCTTCTTTGATCTTCACACTCATATCGGTCTTGAAGTTTCGCAACTTTTGCTTGACAGGAGGGAATGATGGATCAGTTAGCAATTTATGAACTACCAGATTAGTGCTCAGGCCCGGCATATCGTCATATGACCATGTAAAGACATTTTTGTACTCAAACAATGTTTTGATTATTTCCTCCTTAACTTGCGATTCTAAATGCACATTTATCTTGGTTTCCCAAACATCATCCTGGTCCCCTAAATTGATTGCTTCAGTCTCACTCAAATTAGTCTTTGGGTTTTCTTCAAATTGTTTTAGCTCTTTACTAATTTCCTCAAATGCTGCTTCTTCATCATATTCTATTTCATCATCATATTCTACTTCTTGGATTGTTATTTCAGAATTAGATTGGCTTTTAGACTCTGCTGAAAACTCTTCATGTATGTCATGTCACTACAACCAGCATAAAAAGAACTGTACAAAAGAAAAAAGAACAAAATAAAACACTATTAAGAATAACGGAAAATGGAAAACTGCATTTCATTAAAATTAAAAGGATAGAAGGGTTTGAACATCAAAACAAGCAAAAACTGAAAATCTGGATTACAACCCTGGAATAACCCAGATAACAGAAAGGAAAACAAAGCAAACTACCAAAACTCCTTCCTGGTGGGGAGAGGAGTAGCTTCCCAATTTCTAAGCTTCACGTTTGGGCCGACGAGCTGCACATTTGCTTTACTAGAGCCTTCACCAATTTCTACCATATTGACTTCTTCGAACAGACTTTGGAACCTCTTGATCAGCTCTTCATCAACATCGACCACAGGTTTTGGGATTGAGGAGGTTGGAGGTTTTTCGGTCCCTGGCTTGTCAAAAGACTTAGAGATGTGTGGGACGGGCTTGGAGAGCGACCATACCTTCTGTTTCAGATTTTTAACCCTTTTCACATTCTTCTCTGTGGGCATGAATCCCAAACCAAATGTACCAAGATTCCCACTGGGGCGCACTGGATGCAAAATACCCTGCAGAGATGAGCCCAAACCCTTGCCCGGCAGAAAACCATTCTTCAACATTTCATTCGCAACCATGACGGACGCGAAGGATAGCTTAGGACCTAGAATGCATTTTCCTTCAGGAATTTTCACAACAGACATTGTTTCAAAATTCTGATAGACCCAAGGTCCCTTATTATCTTTAGCTTCGATAAATGGAACAATTGTGTCGTTATAAGCTGACAAGTCCTCATCATCGTGCACAACTATTTCCTACCTGTCGCATTCGAACTTCACCATTTGGTGCAGAGAAGACGGAACTGCCTTAGCAGCATGTATCCAGGGCCTGCCCAACAAAAAATTGTATGAGACAACCACATCTAACACTTGGAATTCCATGGTAAACTCAACTGGCCCTATTGACAATTCGAGCATTATATCTCCAACAGAATCTTTACCTCCCCCATCAAAGCCTCGAACACACACACTGTTCAAGTGGATTATTTCGGTGACAATCTTTAGTTTTTGCAGAGTAGACAGGGGACAAATATTCGCACTAGATCCATTATCAACCAAAACCCTTGAGACAACAGAATCTTCATACTTCACGGTGAGATAAAGAGCTCGGTTGTGTTTTGTACTCTCCATAGGAATTTCATCGTCCGAGAAAGTGATCCTATTTGCTTCGAAGATCTTGCCAGCTATCTTTTCCAAGTGAATCACTGTGATTTTAACAGGAACGTGTGCCTCATTTAAAATCTTCATCAAGACCTTGCGATGTTCATCTAAATGTATCAACAAAGACAAAAGAGAAATCTGAGTTGGTGTTTTCCTTAACTACTCCACAATGGAATAATCTTGCACTTTCATCTTTTTCAGGAACTCCTCAGCCTCTTCCTCGGTGACCGATTTCTTTACTGGCATTGGGTTATCCTTGAATAGCTTGGCTTTCCTTAATTCTTCTTGGGTGAAACATCTCCTAGAACGAGTCAATCCTCCAATTTCATTAACTTCTTCCTCTATTTCTTTTCCTTTGTATGTCACTATCACTTGTTTATAATTCCACGGAACAGCCTTGGCATCCACCACTGGAAGCTGGGTTACTGGTTTAATGATGATAGGGGTAGCAGGAGCCCCCTTCACAACTATGATAGGCTTACTTGGAATCCCTGGTACTACCACTTTTGAACTTTCCGGACTTGCCCTAACATCTTTTGACAGCCCTTTCACGACCAACACTGGTGGTTTCAAATTGAGTGAGCTCGGCTTTTCTGTCACCCCTTCAACTATCAAGGGCTTCGCTTTGGTAGAGTCAGGAGCTTTAACCAAATTACTTTCACTGGCCCGAATCATCATGACGAACTTAGAAGACTTCCTGGGCTCCTCATCCTTGTGAACTATTTCAATCATATCCGTCTATACATGGGCTGGCAAAGGGCTTTGGTTGATGTTCGGTGCGTCTGGATTTTGGACTACAATTTGGTTGGTATCAATAAGCTCCTGGATTGCCGTTTTCAAACGACAGCACTTCTCTATGTCATGCCCTGGAGCATCAGAACAATAGGCACATCTTAGGGAATAGTCGAGGTTCTTTGGAGGGGGATTCGGTATCTTTGACTCAATCGGCCTCAAGACGTCCAACTGCCTTAATCATTGAAACAAACTAGCATAGGACTCTCCAAGCGGGGTAAAAGTTTGTTTCCGCTGCTTCCTCTCTCTCCTATACTCTGGCCTTGATCGAAAATTTGAACCAGTGGGGTTTTGATAGGGTTGTGGGGGTGGATAGGTATTTTGTGGAGCTGGGTAGATATTCTGCAGAGCTGGAGCACGCCATTGCGGGTAAGGAGGGGGTTGAGCATATAATTGTGCATGGTGAACAAGGTATTGGGATGGCCTGGCTAAGTATTGGGGGTTTTGCAGGGAAAAGTAATTTTGAGGTGGATTATATGGAGCTTGGGTGTAGGCTTGAGGCCGGGGTCGAGGATGGGTGTATTGATGAGGTGAACCCCTCTGGCCATGCCATGATCCAGAGACAACCATAGCGACATATTCCTTCTTCTTCTTGCCTAGCAAACTTCCGGTACCACTCTGGATTGCCTGGTTGGTTGCTTTTATAGCAGAATAGCTCATGATCTTACTCGACTTCAGACCCTCTTTCACCATTTCTCCCATCTTCACCACATCATTGAAAGACTTACAAATGGCTGAGATCAAGTGGCCATAGTAAGTGGGCTCCAGGGCTTGAAGAATGTATTTAACCATCTCGTCCTCTTCCATCGGAGGATTGACTCGTGCAGCTTGCTCCCTCCATCGGAACCCATATTCTCTAAAGCTTTCACTGGGTTTCTTTTCCACCTTGGTCAGAGATAGTCGGTCTAGAACAATGTCTATATTGTACTGAAAGTGCCGGGCAAAGGTCTGAGCCATATCATCCCAGGTGTACGACCTGCTGGCGTCCTGGCGGGTGTACCATTCTAAAGCTACCCCACTCAGACTTTGGCTGAAGTACGCCATCAGTAATTCGTCTTTTCCCCCGTCGCCTCTCATTTTATTGCAATAACCTCTCAGATGCGCTACAGGATCCCCATATCCGTCATACAAGTCAAACTTGGGCATCTTGAACCCGGCATGCAATTGGACATCGGGGAACACACACAAATCCTTATAGGCCACACTCACTTGGTTTCCCAACCCTTGCATATTTCTCAATGATTTCTCCAGACTATGTACCTTCCTAAACATGTCTTCTTGCTCTGCGTTCTTGGGTGGTTTGTCAGTTTCAACATGAGGCTCAAATTGGGGAGTGTAAGAGTAAGGATCTGGGACTTTGAAGGTGGGCTCCGATGCATAGTAGTAGGAATCTTTAGCGGGGAATGCGGGCTCACTAGAGGATCGGTGCAGGGTAGCTTGTGGAGGGGGTACAAAAATATGAGCAGATGTCAGAGCAGGGTACGAGGTTGTTTTGGATGGCAGAGCATGAACAGTTTGGGCTGAAGTACCGAGGTAGTTGTGGTAAAGGGTAAAGCCAGGTGCGTGTTGTGGGGAAAGATCAATGATATTGGGCATCTGGTATTGAGAGAGTGGTGGAATGAAAGCAGAGTTTTTTGTGTAGTTGGTAGGGAACGAGGGTGGAGGGTGTCCCTTAATCCAGGCTTGATACATTTTTGCCATCTGATGCTTCAACCTTCGGACCTCCTCTTGCAGTTCCGATTCCGACTCAACAATCTCCCTTGGTGGGTCTACAACTCCAGTGTTTGTTTCCTTGCTAGCCATGACTATTTGACGCTTTGATCGGGTGTTGTATGGATGACTTGCCAAGATGCCAACAAACTAACCACCTTCCTGAAACTTAATAGAGACAACAGAGGACAACAACATAAAACCACCAAGTTAGCGTTAGGGCATTCATCAAATAATAATATCATATTACGTACAATGCACCTAGCAACAATTAACGGTTCTAAAATGGCTTTAAGGGTCGCAGGGTCATATGGCATCATTCTGATTTGCTCATTTCAATCCTTCCTTCTCTTTCTTTTCCAACACCTCTTATCACCCTCTTCTTTTTCTTTCTCTTTTTATTTTGAACCAAAAATGATTTGATCGAACCCATTGTAGGTTGCCTACGTATCATGTCCCTCATGAATCAGACCAAGTGTAGTTCAGGAAAAGTGATGGAAAATAAATTAAAAACAAAATCTTTTTGGGATTTTTCATTTAAAAACTTTTCGATATTAAAATGCAACAGGAAGTGCGATAATAAAAGACCTGACAGACTCAACTACACTACGACAGACTTTGACACTACCTAAAGGACTCAGTACTTCTAGACAAGACACAAAAGTAAAAGACAACATACGACAATCTCAAAACACCTAAATAGAATGACTCCTCAAGCTGCTCCTAAATGCGACGGTCCTGGCTGGGATGATCCTGGGTTGTCTGTCATGCTCAAACTCTGTAAAATTCCTCGTAAAGAAACATTGATGCTTAGAATAAAGGCCCTAGCGTGTGCCCCCGCATCCTGAAGGCCGACCCTAAACAAATACTGGCCATGCTGCTCCACGTTTGCTGCCAATCCCGCTAACTGAGACTTTATCAACTCAAGCTTATCCCAAGGATCTTGGTCCGATGCCTCCTCAAAATCATCTGTCTGAACTGCCCGACCCCTAAGTTGTGCTGGCAATGGGGTACTGACCCCTGGCGGGACGGACTGTAACCAAATCAAGTACTCCTGAGTACACTCGGGCCTGCCAACGTCCTCTACTAATGTATTTTTCTTTATCCTCTTTGCATTGTTCTAGTATTGCACATACCTGATTTCATCAGCCGCCTTTTTGCTAAAATTTATGATGTGCCGCCGAAGATTCAAAGTTGGAGGCTCCTCTTGTCTTCTGCCCAATTGCCGCATTACCCTAATGGGAGTGTACGGCCTGACACACTTGAGTCCTATCAGCATCAGGAAAGGCTGCATGAGGCACCCTACCAAGATATCATCCAAAGGTAGCCAAAGGTAAGCCCACAAAACATTCCCATTTGTCCTCAAACCAAGGGACTCAATCCAAGCCGTGACGCCTACTGGGTACGTAAACTTAGGAGATTTCGTCCTACGTTCGATGCATACCACCCGATCCCTCAAGGCATGGTCGATGGGACAAAGTAAGGAAGCGGTGTGCAAATGCTCCATCATCCACAGCTGTAGCAAAAGGTTACATCCCTCAAAATATCTGACACATCCCCTAACCTCACTCAGGGCTCGGTACAACTCTGCTAAGATCATCGGCACAACAGTAACGGTTTTGCGTTGCTTCTCATGAAATAATGTCATTACCACTGACTGCAGATGGGTGCTAATGTGCCTCTCATCTAATGGAAAAACCAATAATCCCAACAAAGCAAGGCTGAAAGCTTCGAGGCGACGTCTTTGCCACTTTGCATTGGTTGTGCAGAACTCATCCCAAAAGACGTCAAAACTATCTTGTGGTCCAAATCTAGCAAACAAATAATCCAAGGATATCCAGGACTGCTCGAGACATTTTAAATGCTTATTATCTTTCAGGCCCAGGTCGCTGAGTAATCCTGTCCTAGAGTGGTCTCGGGGAAGTATCATGTCCTTGCCTATATAGCTTAAACGAGTGAGGCCAGACATTTACGCCAAGGTAGGAGTCATCTCACACTCTCCAAATCTGAAAATCAAATTTTGCGAATCCCAATAAGTCAGCATCGCCTCCACTAAGTCCGGGCGGGGTGTGATATCAAGAAGGGAAGTTAGGGTGCCCAATTTCTACATTAACTCATGCTTCTCTAACGATGAAAACATTTTCCACCACTTGATCAACTTCCTAGGAATCTTTACTACCATAAGCACTTTGGATTGAATCAGCGGGTCCATACCTGAATGAAGCAAACATGGTTAGCGACTCGGGACAGTACGTGACCCCACCACATTTCCTAGTGGACAAATGCAGGACACAACTTGGCTATATTTGCAAAATGGCCTAAGTGGTTGAAAGTGGCTATTAGCGCAAACTTGACAAAGTTGACCCCTAATGCATGAGAAATACTCCATTTAAAGCTTACATGACTCTAATATCCCGACAATTATGGTCTTAAAAATTACTTTGCGGAAATGGACCCTTTTTTTTGCAAAAATGGACGATGTGGCCAAATGTGGCTAGGGACGTAAACACGACATGGACGGACCTTAAAGTGATATGACACCGAGTTATAAACTCAAAATCCTAAGACATGGGTAATTGAGCAACTCTTGCGAAAATAACCCTATTTTGCAAGAATGGCTGATATGGCCAAAAGTGGCTAGACACGCAAATTTAACAGGTTGTGGACCTTAGAATCGACAGGACACTTTATTGTAGACTCAGGGCTCTAAAACATGAGATAACAAACTACTTTGAGAAAATACTCCTATTTTTTCAAAACGACCAATGTGGCCAAATATGGTCATACATGCAAGATTTGGCTACGATCCCGGAAGCCAAGAACCTAGGACCTACTAGGAAGACCGGACCCTATGTGGGTTGCCTACGTATTCCTCCCCGGAAGACGAGAATCAGGTTCGCGTAGTTCGGGAAGATTAAACATGGGAGGAAGCCTTTAAAAAAGTCAACTAATTTGGAAAAACCAATTATTTTTTTTTGTATTTTTGATGAAAATTGAAAAATATTTATTTGGATTTTTCTTTTTCTCCCTTTTTGAATTTTGGGAAAATGATGGAAAATGTAAAATATTTTTGGATTTTCCTTTTTTTGAATTTTGAATTTTTGGAAAATGATGGAAAATGTAAAATCTTTTTGGATTTTCTATTTTTAAATTTATTTATTTTTTGGAAAATAATGGAAAAGTGTAAAATCTTTTTTTGGATTTTTCATTTTCATTTTGATTTTTGGAAAACTATGAAAAGAAATGTGAGTGGACCCTACTTTCTTCATTTTCACCCTTCTTTCCCAAGCATCGGTCCGCCAAATGACCTTTTTACCCTCACATATGCAACATTTAGCACATAGGATGATTAAATTTCATTTTGGGCCACGAGCCCATTTTGACAAAATTTGGACAGGCTTCCTACAAAGGGACACGGTACCTGGGACCGAGCCCTACTAGGTCTAAATGACATGATGCAAATAAAAATGACCTAAAGGCTAACCTAAGTTTGGGGTTCACTAACAAGGCAATTCGGGGGAGTGTATGGTCGATGGTGGCTGCTCAAGCTTTCCACCCACTCCATACGTCTGACGCCCCCCCACCTCCTAAATCAAGGGTGACTCAACAAAGAGTTCGTGCACGCGACGCGTGCTCCGAGACCTGTTGCAGAAAGAATTGACTGAGTAATGCATATGATGACAGTTATAAAGCAGTAAACACATAAAGTAAAAACTGTAAACACATAAACAATTAGCAAATAACAAGATATAAAAACATAATAAAAATTAAGTAAAGCTAATGAAAAAGCATAAAAACCTCAACCAAATATTCTAAAAGCCAACAAAATCAAGTACTAGCTCAAACCCGCAAGTGTCCCCAGCAGAGTCGTCAGAGATGTCACACCCCTTTTTCATTCCAAACCTCACTAACCCTCTTAAAAAATAATAAAAGGATTATGTGAAGCTCAAAAGGGTTTTCCAATTTTGAAAGTGACAAAAGATAGTGTTCAAAAGAATTAACTCAGAGTCGCCACCTGACATTTGATATCGGTGTGTCAGGTCACCGTTTTTTTAGAAAATATTTTTCCTTTAAAACACTTGGACTCAGAACTAAGTCCGCACCAGAGGTTTGGGTAAGGGGATTCATTTAACTCGGGAAGAAGGTGTTAGGCACTCCCCAAGTCCCGTAACTAGTACGGTTGCATACTTGATCTAGTCGGCTTTTAAAATATTCAAGTTGAGGTAAAATCACAGAAAAGAAAAATAAACACAAAAGAGGCTCGAGGTCGTCCCCACCTAAATGATAGAAAATTAAAACAAGAAGAAAAACTAAAGTTCTAAATTATCCTATGCTATTTCTTCTACGATGTTCGCCATGACCCCCAATTACATAGTACTACGGGGCATTCCCAGAATAAAATATATACAAATCCTTCATGGCATTCCCTGGATAAATTTAACTAAAGGAACGACCTCTCGCCTTAGAACTAATAAAAATCCTAAGGCTTGCATACCAAAATGTTGTCGGCCCAAGCATGCTCCTAGCGGAAGATGTAATAAAAGTAACAAAATAAAACTAAAAGCAATAGAAATTAATTTCATGCTCATTCCCTTTTGAGTTTCTTCTTTCATGCATTTGTCCGACCAACCCAACTTCTCGCAGCCCGTGCGTGAACCAAACATTCATCCAATCAACCAAAACAAGCACATACAAATAGACGTCTAAGGCAGTAAGCATTCAGCGTTGAAAAAGTAACAAAAATAGTAAAAGCCTATCCCAATATAACATTCCAATACACACAGAGAGAAGAGGACAACGTGAGTTAAGTCTTATACGAACAGTTTAGGAGTTAGTATGCCATCTTCCTAGATATTGTTACTACGTGACTTTCAAAAATCATTTACGCTAATTTGAACAATTTTAGGAGTGAACATGGATGAAATGTAATGCAAATAATGACCAGGCTTCTGCCAAATACTTAAACTATTCTAAGAGGACAAAAGTAAACTCAAAACACAACTAGCTTAGACAACATTCAAAAAACATGTTTCACTATATATCAGCACAGAGGATGGGTCTACAAACAAGAACAAGCAACTCATCTCATGAGAAAACTGATTTTTGATTTTTCTTTGGCTTCAAGGATCGATTTTGTCCCAAACTGTCCGAGACGACAAGATAATCCAGTGACTCACTTAACATATGAGGGGAATAGCATTTACAGACAATAGACAAAACAAAGAGTTGCACTTTCAGATCATTATCCAGGAAAGATAGAGTTGTCAATTCAATCCCAAGGTAAAAGGAAATCAAGTTGGTTTAAGTTCAAAGGCGAATCTGCTAAACTTCAACAAAACGTTAATTATTTAGTCATGAATTCAAACTGATCTAATCAAGATTAGTAACATCGAAGCAATGGCGAACAAAACCAACCATAAACTGGCCGAGCAGACAAATCAGCTGGAATTTAAGCAAGAAGGCCAATTGAATACACTGCCCATTTATGTAAAACTCGACACAATCGAGTACTAAATCAGCGATTACAAAGTTAAGTCATATTGCAGTCCAAATTAAACAGGTTCGAAACCATAAACATTTCAACACAGAAGTAAAGCAAAATGCAAGTAACAGAGGGGGATCAAATCTAACTAAAACCAAACGTGACAGGGGAGACAGAAATGAACCTGGATATTCAGAATTTCAATTAATTCCAAAAGCGAGGACAAGAAAGTTCAGCGATGAGGAACTGAAGTGAATCGCAAACAAGAACAAGAACTTCGAATAGGAACCCGAACGGCAAATGAACTTCAACTCCGACGAGCTTCAACCAACCTCAATCAAGGTCCATATTTGAAGCGAAATCCAAAAAATGAATTAAGATTTTTAATATGTTTCTAATTTTTCGAAATGAAACAAAACTCAGAATAAAAATCAAACTTAAACTTCTTTTTGTTTTCATTTTTCTGGAATGCAAAGCAAACACTAAAAAAATCTCAGGACTCAAAGAACCCTAGACCTTTTCTCCGCCTTTTTTTCTTTTTTTCTCCTCCCTATTTTTGTCCGAAAATCCTCCAATATATAACTCTCGCTCGAAGCTTCTCCTTCTTCAGCAAGAAATCATGTGTGGCCCCCAACAAGATCCGAAAATCCCATTTTTAACAAAAATTAGAAAATGAAAGTCTTGGATCAAAATTTAATCCAACGGCTCCCATTTTCCAACATTTATTTCAAGGACTCGGATTTTTTGTTTAAACAAAAGAAATAAAAGAAAAAATCCGCGTGAATCGGATTGAAATGATGAGATTTGGTACGAAAGGGATGACGTGGAAGAAGGAAAAGATGAGGGGGGGACCATGGGACTCGTTGAGTGAACTCGCCGGAAAACTGGCGAGTTGGAGGCGGGCTGAAGGCTGGGAAAGGGGTGTGGTGCGACTGCTTAGGTCTTGAAGATTAGGGTTAGGGTTTTTTTTTTGGGGAAATAAGGTTCTTATATGTGGTGTGGGGAATTAATTTGGGCTGTTGGATCAAAAGGGTGAAGGGCTAGGATTTAGTGTGGGAAGTAGGCGGGTTACTGGGTCGTTTGGGCGGGTCTCAGTCGGGTTAAGGGGAAAGGGATGGGCTGTCCAGATTTGGGCCTCTTCTTGCCCGAAATTGGGCCAAAATTTGGGACTCTAACCCTTTAAATCCATC